AGCATTACTAAGTCCAGTCATTTTCAAGCATCTTTAGCATCTTGTTTAGTTTGCTATTTTTTTTTCCTGGAAACAGACGGCTGACGGCAGTTATACAATTGTTTGCTGGAACACTCAGCAACTACAGCAATAAGACAGTAAAGATAATATAACTGGCGAAAGGGAAGAGGCCTTGGACAGGCCGTCTGCAGTTCTGAAGCTGAACTGTGAAATCGTTAGGCAGCACTCGTGAGAGCTGGCCAAATGAGTGCACTCCCTCCATCTACAGAAGAGGTGGGTCTAGGCAGCACACCACAGCATCCACTCTGTTTCCCAGCTCTCACTCAGTCTGTGGAAATGCAGAGAGAAGTCCAAGGTAAGGCACAGACAAGTCAGCTGTCCTGGTTATAAGTGAACTCAGTATCCTCCTTCCCTCTCTCGCCTTCTTCTCCATGGACGCTTTCAAAAGCATAAAAGGAGGCCTCAGAAAGAGCTCTCCTTATCCCCAGGAATCCCTGAGAAGCCCCACTGGGATTCTCTCTCCTTCATCAAGCTAGGGACCAGTCCTTCTGTGTCATACTTCCCTCCTTAGCCATGAGAAACTCACCTCTCCCTCCCTAGCACGACTCTACTCCTGAAAGGGAGCCCCACATCCCAGAAAACTGCTTATGTGCACATGTCACCTCGGAAAAGCGTATTCTACAACAGGAGTGAATTGACCTGAGAATCATGGTCACGAGTTCTTTCATTTTAAATGATTCCTCCCTGTAGAGATAGTTCAGGCTTTCTTTCTCAGAAATCTCCGCAGCACACTTGCCTTCCTCTTTGAAGAACAATATAATTATCATGAAGGACAGAGAACAGCATGCAGATTAAATCATAGGTTCTTGGGCTTTCTACAAACCTAGTGCTAAATTGAACAGCACTCAGATGCCCTTTAGCTCACCTTCTAAAATAAGCTTTTTCAAAACTGGGAAGCTTTTCAAATCAGGTACATACCTGACTGAACTCTTCTCTTTTCACTTAACCACTTAGCTCCCATGCCTTATGTTAAGGGGCTCATTAAATTGCCTTATAACCTCTTTATTTTCCTCCAAAATTACCTCTTTTGGCTCTTCCACTGAGCTTCTTTAGTATCTTGCTTGAACAGAGAATAATACACTGGAGCCACTATTGTGATATTTTAAAAATGAAATGTGCCTGTCTCCTTAGACTAGTCCAAGCATCACACTACACTTCAAAGGCTCCTTCCGCAAAGTGAGGGCGGGCTTCTAACTATCACACTTCTCTTCGATTCTTCCCTGCCCATCTCTGTGCCTCTCTGCATCTTCTTCGTCACCCAGTTAACCATCACACATAGTCAGACCCTAAAAGCAAACCTTAGCAGGATGTAAGAAATGTGATGGTGCTTGCTCATTATTGTTCTTAACAGCGTATATGGCTGCACGTCTGCTTATTTACAGTGCTTACTCAGCTAAAGCAAGGAGGTCAGGAAATGTTCAGCTATCTCATCAAGAAAGGGGCTTCAAAGCAGTACTAAAGAATGGAGACATCTTTATTGACACAGACTACAGATACACAGCCTTCTACGGTTACACACTGTTGTTTCTAAGTAACCTGACGCATAAGTAAGGTAAGTTAGATAACCTTTGATCAAATGTTAAAAGTAAAATGTGACACATAGCTCATAAAAACATCTCTCCTCACTCCCGAGAGCTGGCACATTTAACAAGAACTATAGAGGGCTGCCATCATTGCTGTCAGATACAATGTTCTTGTATTCTTTTGGAAAAGGTAGAAAGTGCTTGCTTATGTTTCTACAGCTTGTTTTCTGCAAAATACCACCCAAAGGGATTGATTGTTTAGATGGGAAAGTTTTTAATCTCCATAACACAACCATTTTTGAGTAATGTGGTTTCTAGCTGTCACTGTCTCCGGTTTTCTAGAGAATCTTTTTTCCTTCTAGGGTAATGTTAACAGAATCAACAATGCACATTCTTTCCTTGTTCCCTGGTGAAGCCCTTTAACAACAATCATTTGGTGAAGGACCACAGCAACAACTGCAGGCTTGTCCAGCATGAAGCATCTTCCCAAGCATCTCTCCTACGTGGACTATGTGTGAAATAGAGATGATTATATTGCCAACAAGAAGTTTATTACTTGGAGGTGTGAGTTAGTCAGAAAATTCTCATGCCCTGCATTCTGACCTTAATTACTTCTCTAACAATAGAGATTGACATCACTTTGAAGGGAAGAGTAGAGGCTCATATGTGCTAGTACCTTCTGTCTTAGTAACTGTCTCTGATGCTACGATAAAATACTGTGACTAAAGCAACTTCTGGGGCTTGGGGTTATTTTGGATCATGGTTTAATGTTGTAACTTACCAGTTTAAGTCCATCATTATGCAGCAGTCAAAGAATCAGGCAGAGGCAGCTGGCCACCTGGCATCCATAATCAAGTATCAGGAAGCGATGGGTACACGTTTTCAGCTCACTTTCTGGGTTTTGTGCAGGTCCAGGATTCTAGCTCAGAGAAGGATGCCACCAATGGTTGACAAATCTTCCCACCTCAATTAATGTAATAAAGACAACCTCCCACAGACACGTCCTGAGCTCTATCTGTCAGGTGATTCTAAAGTTCATGAAGTTGATAACTGAGTTTGTTTTTTAATTGAAACAATGGTAAAGTGCTTCCTTATATTCAAGGAACATCAACTGAATAGATACACACATACATACACACACACACACACACACACACATACACATACACACACAAAAGAGAAAGAGAGAATACCTACTATGTAGCATATACTGTATATTCCCACTCTCGTTTTTACATCTTTCTCAATTATTTTCTTTTGCTGTATTCATTAGCATCAACAGCTCATTAAAGTCATGTAAGTGGATATCTTCTGAGTTTCCTGGTGAAGTGGTTGCCAGGCCTATGTTATCTGGAAATATAACGCCTTTAAGGAAAGAGAGATGGAGATCAGTACTTTCAACTGGCAAGCTCACTTTACACGAAGGCATTCGTGAAAAGGATGTTGCATATGGTGACATACTGTCTTGCTGGTATGTCTTATATGTCACAGCTATTGAAAGATCGGTACTTCTTATTTTCAAATAAACTACTTTGTAGGAAATGGAATAGTAAAGTATAAATTTCATCTTGTCTTCTACAAATTATGAATAGAAAAATTTAACACATGAGGGAGCAAATCGGCAACCACATCTGCAATCAATGCAGCAAATTAAAGGAAACTGTAGTGGCTCAGCTGGAAAAACTCCAAGTGTGAGACTAAAGGACAAGGGATGAGTTTGTGTTGAATAAGGAGTGCTAAGCATTGATGATCAATCCTGGGCACTATCTCCTCATTTTACCAAAAGGAGTCTAAAAGAATAAATAATAAATGTCAAGGCTACTGATGCCACAGTACACAAAAGCTATACAGAAATTCCATAAATCTGAAATGTGCAACCTATAAAAGATAGTTCAGGAAAATTACCTTTTGATATATAAACTTTTACCCAGCCGGTATAAGGTGAAATACGAGCTCGTAGTTCTCCAAAAAGCAAGAGTATTGGAGGGGAAGGGGTGATATGGTCAAAATACATGATTCCTTGAAGAAACCGTTTTTATGCAATCAGACACGATACACAATGAATATGAAGAGCAAAAGGACCTTGGAATCTTTAATTATAACTCTAAAATAAATAAAAATAAGTTTAAAATGGGTGTCAAAAGTGTTGTCCCACACTCTTCTTGATTTTATAATCATAGAAAACCATGAACTTGTCAACATAACAGATTGCCATGGAAAGATAATAAGACTGAGACACTGGGCGATCTTTCAACAGGTAATTAACTACAACCAGAGTCCTGGAGGAACCAGAATTCAAGAGATAACAAACTGAATAGTCTCCAATTATTTATATTTCTTTGCATTTTACTGAAATCTTACAGAAAGTATGGGGCAAAGGACAAATTAGAAGGGTCCAAGCTATGGTTAGTTTTGTTTTTTCTTTATAAACCTCTGAGGGATAGGCAAGATTGAGAGCTATATATTTCTTAAGTACTTGAAAGGGTCAACTATTTTTCTAAGAAAAATCCAGTGGCCTTGTTTCTTGCTTCAGATAGGTTCTGCTGATCCTAGTAACTTTTCAATGTTAATTTTTATTAGGATATCTAAAAGGTTTCCAGGAAAATTCACTAAGTGTGTAGATCATTGCTATTAGCCAAGGAGAGGAAGAGGAGATTAACCGTTGAACTTACACCAGCCTTGCTAAATTCCTGAGCAATGAGTTTGGATGAAAGTAACTTGCTCTGGCAGATTTAAGTGATTTGGAGAAAATTTGAAAAAATACTAAGTTAGGTTATATTTCCCTCATAGAGGCAAACAAAAAAGGAAAACCCTCTTTTTTCTCAGTTTTGACACTGGTTGATTTAGTTTTATTTTAATTAAAATTAAATTTAATGGCCAGACAGAGATAAACATATGTGGATAGACTGACAATAAATAATATTTTCAGACTAAGAGGAAATGAATATTCATGTTAAAGTTTTGTTTAATTTTAAGGTATGTTTGAAAATTTTCACTACTAATTGCTGGAGAAGAAAAAGCAGTTGATAAAGAATAATAGGCCAGGCAGATGGATCAGAGGCTAAAATGCTCGTATAACAGCCTGAATGTGAATCTGCAGAATAAATACTATGTGAAGCCAGATGCAGTAGTAGGGGTCATGCAGTCTCTATGTTTCTATGGCAGGAAGGGAGGTGGAAAAAGTGGAAATCCTAGATCACCACAGACCTGCCAGCTTGGCATATCCAGAGATTGTCTCTCTGAGTGGAAGGTGGGAACCAGCACTGGAGGTTGACCTCTGACCTTCATACTTGACCACACACACACACACACACACACACACACACACACACACACACGGCAGAGAAGTCTGTGAGGGAGAGAGCGAGAGCATGCACACACAAGAGAGAGAGAAAGAGAGAGAGAGAGAGAGAGAAAACAGAGAGAAAATGACCACCAAAAAAAAAAGACAAACAACCAAAACAAAGGCTTATTTTGTCAACTACAAGTCAAACCAGACAGCAATGAACTTTTCTGAGTCTGCAGTGAGTGACTGGCTTCTATCACATGGGCAGGTAAGACCAAGAAAACTGGTACCTAACTGAAGGGGATTTGGTAGCTATTTAAGGTCAATAAAGTGAACTACTGCTTATGAAGACTTAATATTATTCATTTGAAAGATACATTTCCTTTTGTTGTTGTTGTTTTGTTGGTCTTTTTTATCTTGTCTAATTTTTTAATTGATTTTTATTGAGCTCTACATTTTATTCTGCTGCCCTCCCTGCCTCTCTCCTCCCCTTCAGCCCTCTCCCAAGGTCCCCATACTCCCAATTTACTCAGGAGATCTTGTCTTTTTCTACTTCCCATGGAGATTAGATCCATGTATGTCTTTCTTAGAGTCCTCATTGTTGTCTAGGTTCTCTGGGATTGTGATTTGTGGGCTGGTTTTCTCTGATTTATGTTTAAAAACCACTTATGAGTGAGTATATTTGATAATTGTCTTTCTGGGTCTGGGTTACCTCAATCAAAATGATGATTTCTAGATCCATCCATTTTCCTGCAAATTTCAAGATGTCATTATTTTTTTCTGCCATGTAGCACTCTGTTGTTTAAATGTGCCACAGTTTCCTTATCCATTGGTGTAGGAGGTTCTTCTGTCTATTTGTTGCTTTCATTGGTTGAATAAAGAAATAAAGAAACTGTCTTGGCCTTTTGATAGGACAGCACTTAGGTAGGCAGAGTAGACAGAACTGAATGCTGGAAAGAAGGGCAGACACAGAGCTGCCAGGTCAGACATGCTGAATCTTTCCTAGTAAGCCATGACCTCGTGGTGAACACAGATTATTAGAAATGGGTTAAATCAAGATGTGAGAGTTAGCCAATAAGAAGCTAGAGGTAATGGGCCATGAAGTAATTTAATTAATACAATTTCTGTGTGGTTTTTGGGGTGTAAGCTAGATTGGATGAAAAGTAGAACCTCTCTCCTCCCTCCATCAACAATTCATTCTTCAGTCAAGGGGCATTTAGGTTGTTTCCAGGATCTGTCTATGACAAACAATGCTACTATGAACATAGTTGAGCACATGTAGCAATACCACTTTTGGGTATATATCCAAATGATGTTTAACCATGTTGAAAGATACATTTCTTAACCTAATTGCAATGACTACATCTTCAAAACACATTAGATACCCAGGATACCTAATGGTATCCTGGTATATACCATGGTGTTGAAAGCTGAAAGAGGGCAGACAGATGAAGACCAGTTAGGACTATAGGGGTGTCACCCACACTCTTCCCTCAGGCACTTACGTCCTCAACTCTTATTCTCTTATCTGTTTACCAAGGAATGATAAATTCTATTAATTAAAAGTATTTGGTAGGGGCCACTGGGTTCAGAAAATGACAGAAATTAAAACAAAGCAAAACAACAACAGCAAAAAAGTAAAACAAGGCTTGAGAAATCTCAAATGGACAAGTACATCTTCAGGAAGCAAGGGAAAGATCTACTCCAAATTCAACTGTCTTTAGAACACAAAGTCCAAATGGAATTATAAATTGAGTACAGGCCAAAAGTGTTGTGACTTCAAGTCTTCAAGATAGCTTTGCCTTATATTTCAACTTTTAGTCACTTGGGAATAAAAAGAGATTTGGGCACTGTGATTGTTTGAATGCAATTGGTCCCATAATCTCATAGGGAATGGCGCTACTAGGAGGTATGGCTTTGTTGGAGGAAGTGTGTCACTTTGGGGGAAGGTCTTTAAGGTTTCCTATGTGCAGGATACCACCCACTGTTTCAGTCAACTTCCTGTTGCCTGCAAGACATATGATTCTCAGCTCCAGGACCACATCTGCCTGCATGCCGCCATGGTCCCTGCAATGATGATAATAGACCAAACCTATGAAACTGCAAACAAGTCACCCCAATTAAATGTTTTCCTTTATAAGAGTTGCCAAGTTCATGGTATCTCTTCACGACAATAAAAGCCTAACTAAGATAGGAATATTTATACAGATAGAGAAAAGACCAAATCCCACACGTGTCAATGGTTTTCAATCTTATTGACCATAAAATCTCTTTGCACATTTAATAGTTGCTGTGAACCCTACAAAATGGTTTATATTCTTTAAATAATTATATTGGAAATTAAAATAAAGAATTTTAAAGGTATTTATTTGCTTTTTACATATTTTTATTTTATATAATAACATTTAATTTTATATAATAATAAATTCAAGACATATTAAAATAAATACTATCTACAATACAATGCATAGTCTTGAGAGAGCAATGGCATTCACTCATGAAAGAGAGTAGAGAAACAAATACTTTATAATTATGAAACTTGTTTTGACCTTGTAGTCTCTCCCAAAGGGCTTTGTCCCCTTATCCACACTTGCATTAGAACATTCCTTATCAATGATCAGCACTGAGAAAAGCTCTCAAGTGTGCTGCAGGTCGGTGGGTACTTCCTTCCTTTTCATTCTTGCTGTCTCTCAGACTGGATTCAAGATGTGTGCCCACCTTGCTTATTATTGTGCTTCCCAAACACTGTCTCCCTTCAAGAACCCCAGAGCATTTAAGATATAATCCTTGTGAGGTATTATAAAATGGTTATGATGGTTTGGTGATGAGGAAATATTCAAGATAAGGAAGTACAAAATGCAGTATGGTAGATCATGATGCTGCCTATGGAAAGAAATGAATCAGGAATCAGGAGACAAATTGCTTGCTAGGGGTAACTAGAGAGACTGATTTTAGGGCAGGTTCAGAAATGATTCCACAAAGTAGAAAGTATCCAGGCAAAGAAATTCAGAGATAGAATACTGCCTATTAGACTTAATCCCCTGAGTTCTAGCCCTAGCATGGTTAAGAATGAATAAAGAAGGGAAAGGAAGAAGGGAGGAATGGAGGGAGGGAGGGAGGGGTGAAGGAGGGAAGGAGAGAGGGAGGGAGGGAAAAAAGACCTAATGGATGAAAATAGATGTGATGTTATTATAAGATAAAAATGAGAAAACAGTAAAAGACATTTGGCATGATGTATATATTAGATAATAGCAACTATTATCTATGTAAAATTTTTAAATTTCAGACTTTTGTAAAGATTGGTTATTTAATATTATCAATTGTTTTTGCATCATTAAGGAGTCATAATTTTTACTTGGTTTGTTAATATAATATTTGTTTGTTTGTTTGTTTATTGTGGTGTTAATGATCAACCCAGGGCATAGTGAATGCTTAAGAAGTACTCTATCACTGAATTATAACCTCAGCCCAACAAATATTCATGTATAAGAAACATTTCAAGAGGCTAAGGACATAGTTAATGAATACAGTATGAGGCACAAGAATGAGGACCTGAATTCTGATCCTTTACATTCATGTAAAACCCAGACACAGAAGTATATATGTATAACTTCAGTACTAGTGTTGTGGGAAGCCCTTCTGTATATGTGTTGCTTTTATTGATTAATGAATAAAGAAGCTGCTTTCGGCAAATTTCTTAACAGAATACAGACATTCTGGAAAAGATATAGAGAGGAAGAAGGCAGTGTAAGAAGAAGCCATATAGCCCCACCAAAGAAGTCATACCAGATGCTGGACAGAACTTTTCCTGGTAAGCTACAGCCAAGTTGATACACAGATTAAAGGAGATGGGTTAGTTTAGGATATGAGTTAGCCAGAAAGATGCTTAAGTGATTGGCCAAGCAGTGATTTAATTAATATAGTTTCTGAGTGATTATTTCCAGTCTGAGCAGCCAAGAAAGAACAAAGGGCCTCCAACACTCTGGGGGCAGAGACAGGTGGACCTTGGGGTCTTATCAGCCAGCTTGCCTACCTGTAGGAGGTACAAAGGTTCTGTGCTCACAGATAAGTTCTAGGGTAACCTAAAATGTTAGCACACAGAGTTGTTCCTTCAAGGGAAGGAATACTATACCTGTTATCCATCAAAAAACATGGGAGTAGACATGCATTTTAGTCTGATGACCTTTATACTCTCTATGGCCAAAGAGGAGACAATATCATATCCTCCCTGAGACCCTTATTGTATGCTTTCTTTTCTCAGTCAATCTACAAAACCTATTTACATAAAAGGTATCACATGTTGTCAATCTATGGAACCTGTCTTATGGAACACATCGCATATGCTTTAAAGAGTTTTGATGTAGTCGCTTCCAATCTTTATTTAGCTTACTTTGTTCCTCAAAGAGATTATATATGATTTATTGTGCTCATGTGATTTAGTTAATGATCACCAGAAAAGTTTTTGCCAAATGGTGCTGTGCTTAAATATTCCTAAAAATTAACTACTCGAGGTCAGACTCTTAAAGTTTGAACCAAAACTGGCTACTTAGTTGTATTGAACCAAAATGTCTTCTTGCTTCCCAATGATCATCACTCTGGTGCCATGGAAGTCTCCAAGACCTCCACACCTATGCAAAACAATGAACTCTGGTTTCAGGGAGAGCCCCTGTATCAAAAGGTATTGTAGAGACTCTGGCCTCCACACACATCCTCCTGGTGCAAAGATAAACATGCACACATTCACTTCAAGGCAATTGTCCCCATTGTCTATTTCATGTCCTGAGAGTTCTGCTTTATGGCCTAGAACACCACCTTCTAGACTTCTGCAAATCTCATGTGAATTTTTTCCATAAGATCACAGAATTGAGGAACTAAAGGATGTCAAGTGGTGACATCTTTTGGAGTTTCATCTAATTGCCATTGGATTGTCTTCATCTTCAACAGTATGGGTAACTTCCCTTCCACTGACATGTTAGGTAAGGCAATCACAACCACTTCAGTTACAATAATATTAAAAGGCTTTCATGCTTCTCCTATCATAAATCATATTATCAAGTCTCAAACTTGGGGCAAGATTTTACTTCTTAGTTAGTAAATTTCTCCACTGCAGGTTGTTCACTCTGAGTCAGTCACCATGTAATACCTCAATGCTGACCATTAAAAAGTCTGACTCTCAAATATTGTAAGACCTTCTCATTAAAAATGAAAGAGTTATTTGAATATTGTCAATCATTTGGACCGCTATATTAACTCAAATTCCTTCTAATA